TGCAGTCTGACCGCAGTTCAGGGCAGCAAAAGCGCAGTAGAACTATAGCATGAAATTTTCATTTTTATTCAGTCTGAGAAAAATACACTGTAAATAAATCCTGTAAATAGAAGGTAGAGCGTGAAAAAGGAAGGCGACCCAAGGAGTATAAAAGGGAGACCCTTTCTGCGACTTTTCGCCCCCCTTAGAGAAGTAAGAAAATAGAGTATTATTTTTCTCAAGCATTTCTGGTTGTCACTCCAGTGCGAAAAAGTGATATACAGTTAAGATTGCCACTGTAGTAAAAGGCAGCAATAAAGGAGAGAAATATTAAGTAGATATTTCAACAGGAGAGCTGGTTAACACTCCAGATTTCAAAGTGTAAACACAAAACAGTTATCTTGCTACTGTTAAAACAAGCAATAAAATAAGACAAAAATAAAATAAACCCAAGGGACACTCCAGACACAATCCAAATTCATTAACTGAATAGAATCTTTGAAACTTCACCAAGTAGAAGATTAAATTCAAATTTAAAACCAAATTAAACAACGCTACACAGAATTACACCTAGACAAATTAATAAATTCCAATAACGAAACAGCTCCGCAGGGCTCAGTTTATCTGTAAGTCAATTCCCAGGAACTTTAAAACTAACCCATAAAAATAGAATTAGCCAAAACACTCAGATTGGTACTATATTTACAATAAATAACACTAGTACACTTCCCCATCCTAACTAAAGAACCAGGGAACAGCTTGGTGGTGGTCTCATTTGAACCTCCCAACTGACCTTCCTTCGTTCTCTCCTTCAGCGCGGGACTCGGTGGGACGAGTAGCGGCTGCGCATAGCAGCGATCCCGTCATGGGGTGAGCATCCCCAACCACTTAAGCTGAAGTGGGAAGTTGAGATTATCATTAAAAGGGAAAAGCTACAGTACTTACCTGAAGTGGGAAGTTGAGAAGAAGGCTGCTTCTTCTGTTCCCACCCCAGGCACTATTATATACATGTGGCCAGGGTCACGTGGAGGAAGCCACGTCATCTCCGCACACAGCCGCACCTCCCTGGGTGTCTCCGCAGGAGATCCCGGAGGTGGCCGCTCAGTAGGTGGGAGTATGCGCAGTGCATGTGGCAATCAGGGGGGTGGGGTCAGGTATGTAGTAGTACATGGAGAAAGGGAAATCGAGTGTAGAATAGAAATAGAAATAGAGATAGAGAGAAGGGGGAAAATGGGGGAGGGGAGACGGGGAGCGATAACGGGGTAGTGCGGTACGGTGTGGGGTGCAGCGCGGGGTCAGGTGGATGTGCCCTGACACAGAGGAAGTAAAACCGAGGGATGATGGCCCACAGCCAAGAGCGTGGGAAAGTTCTGGGCGAGTAACTCACCTGGACAGCCACACCATGTACTAGAGATCACATGGGCCAGGCAAGTAACTCACCTAGACCATGTGAACCACAGGCTCACATGCAAAAGAACACACAACTGCGGCAAATCCCATGCATGCAAGAACGAAAACCCCTCCCACCACCACGAGAAACATAACGACGAAATGTCATTCTCTGGGGGAGGCAACCCTCAGTTCGATCCAAACAAGCCACCGGACATCGAAATACGACAACCCAGGGAGCAAGCCTCCCCGGAACAACAACAACACCAGGCGCAGATAAGCGCCATGGACTACACGACGCACGCAGCACAAATGAGTGCCATGAACCAACAACCATCCGCATTGCTAACAGGCACTGCATACCCCCAGCCTCCTCAGAGGGGCTTCCAACCATACGTGGTGCAAACTGCACCGATGGCACAACAAGCACCATTCCAGGGGCAGCATTTGCTGCTGCAGCCCCAGGCATACTCCCCAGGGAACTTCCCTGGCCAGATCAACCCCTGGATTGGCCAATTCGGCCCAGGTCCAACAACACCCCAGCCAAATGCAGGCTGGGAATCAGTGTCAGCGGTAGCTGCTCAGACAGGTCAGCTCCGCAAGGAGCTGAAAGAGATGAAGTCCCTCATAGGAGGGAGACAAGGGAGCGACAGTGGCTCCTCGTCCAGACTGTCCAAATGGGCATGGTCTGATAACTCGAGGGTGTCAGAAGATGCCTGCGACCATTGTGCCCACTGGAGGCGCAAATACAACAGAGCACGAAGAGATGCCGAGGGCATCTTTGACTCTCTGAAAGACACAGAGAGAGAGGTCGATCTCCAAAAAAGGGAGATCGAATTACTGAAATGCGAGCTCAGAGAGGCACGTGCACTGGCAGACCTCGCTGCCAAACCCATTATGACAGGGGCCTCCCAGGTCAGGGGGAGGGGATATGGTTCCGGGCCTCATGAGGCACAACCCCACATGGGGACTAGCGCATCAAGGGGTGGGGCACTGACTATCCCGCCACCCCGTGGGCAGGCGACCCTGTCCAGGTTGCATAAGGGCCCACCCTCAGAAGGGCAAACCCATGTCAAGGGGAAGAGGGAGAGCGGTAGGCAACCGACAGCAGACCCTAAAATGGGGACCACTGCCAGAGGCGGTGGGCCGCTGAGTACCTCAGCACCCTATGGGCAAGCTACCCTGCAGGGAAGTGTCCACATGCTATACAAGACCGCCGAACTCAACAAGTTCGGCAAAGTCAAAGCTCCAGTCGATGTAACAATCGACCCCAACTTCCCCATGAGGAGAATAGCAGGGTCAGAAGTGGCGCATGACGCCGCATATGCTTGGTGGACAAGTGTGAGTGGGAAAGAATTTGTACACTGGTACGAACAGGCTGAAGCCGCCTTCAAAAGCGGCAAGGTACAAAGAACCCTTTGCGAAAAAGTGAAGGAAACCGAGAAATACTTCTTGGGACTCCCGAGTATTGCAAGACTCGTAGAGGAGTATAATTCCCCAGAAAACAAGGGAAAATCTCCTGGGAAAGTCTAGGCAAAGCCACCTATCTAAAGTCCCAGTTCAAACCACTCAGGACTCCTGAGGAACGTGCCACAAGAACTGCGGAACGGGAAGCAAAAGCTTCCAAATACCGGGAAAGAGATGCAAGTCTTCATGCTGGACAACCAGCCCAATGACCACCCTTCCCCATGGGAAGAATGGTAGACCTACCATACTCCACACCTGAGCCAAGTAGCTCAGGAACACAACAACCCACTCCCACCCAGGGAGCGCCCACTTCGTCGAGCCCACAGCCCGACAATGTAGCCCAGGCTATGTCTGTCACGGGCCTGCAAAGTCCCCACCCTTCTACCACTTTCTGCACCCCCGTTACTCGCGCCCATTAATCATGCCATTGCCCATCACTTAGCAGTGCCGATAGTGGTTCCCATTCTACAGCCCTGTAGCAGCGCCTCCTTCATTCTCCCACCACCACTTGGGTTCCTCAGCCATTCGGCCAATACCGTTTATTCCTATTCATTCGCTTAGCTAACTAGCAGTTGATATGTTCGCCACTGATCCACTCCTTATTGACATTTGGTTTATTCCTTTATTGACATCTGATTTATTCGTATATTGACATTCTGATCTGCCACCATATTGGCGCCTAGATTGTCGGCCTACTGTGCCTCCCAACTTCGCCATCCTCTGTTCCATTCATTTCCCTGGTCCTCATCACTCTTTTAGTTCTGTCATACTTACCATCCCGTTCCCGTCCCGCGCCAGACCGACCAGCCCCTTCTCTGTTCTCCTTTTGTATTTATACTTGTAGTTTACTGTTGATGTACTTTAGTTCAAATATCGACTAGAATTCCCCCCCAAGTACTCTCATCCTAAGTTCACCTCTCAACTTCATCCCCGCTTAAGTCAACGTCGCTGCAAGGTCTTTCCCGCTAACGTGAAATACGGGACAGCCTAGAATGCGTGGTGCAACGCTCTGGCCAAGTCGTTGAAGCCAAAGTCCCAACACCATGACACCTTGCAACGGAGTAGCTCATTAGCTAAGTGACCACTCACACCGCCATACTCTGCTCTGCTTCCCGCGATCACCTTGAACACAGTTTCTGACAATGTCATCACATCCGATGCAGCAATCAGATGTCCAGATGAACAACCTGGAGGAAAACCCTCCTCTGGGGCAATGACTCCACCCTTGAGAAAAGGGAAAGTGACATGGTAATATGCCATTGAGGCACCCGTGAAAACACCTTCCCCCAACTCGAGGCCCCGCACACAATACTGTATGCGAGGAACCGCAAGTAACAATTGCGGAAATCTCTACTCCATCAAAAGACCCACATCCACCACCGCTCATGTGTAAACACCACTTACACATGAACCCTCATGGAACAAGTGAGGAACACCAAAGACATACAACCTTTGGGTCGAAATTCATTTTCGACAAACTCCACTACTTTTCTCCCTGCGATACCCATGTATTGCTGTTCACTTCAAAGTGACGGCCCACACTCACTTATTCCTTAAACCCTTTCTCTCTCCTTCACCGACATGTACAAAAATCGCCCACTTTGAAGTGGTGACAACAAAACACTCATTGATAATTTCAAACTCAATGTAAATCAATTCTTAAAACTTTGTTTTATTCACTATCAACCTTGTATGCATCACAAATGCAACGCAAGGGGGGAGAATGTCAGGGCAATAGCCCCGAACCCTGAGCCACATGTAATTAGATACATATAGTCACATGGGTAAGCAGGAACCTCCGGGTAACTGCTTACACACTACCATAAAATACACACATTTGTATCACTTACAGCTCTGTGTGCTGAGCTACCCCCAGAGACCTCACAGGCATGCAGCTTAAAATAAACGGCGTCTGCCAATGATGCACAAGTCCGCATTTTTCATAGCCATCGGGAGCCCAGTCATTGTGGACTGAACATGCAAGAGTCCAGAGGGAAGCAAGGGAGAATGTAAGACTGCAGAGTTGGTCACCAAGCCAGAAGTCTGCAGAAGTATGGATCAGAGCTGATTATGTTGGGGGTAGTTGTTGGAGTTACAATGACGCATGACTCACTAACCAAACTCACATGATCTTACTTTCCGTTTCCGTTGTATTGATACCGTGACTGCATTGTATATAGGTAATTGTTTGGGTCTATTTTCTTTTTCCCCTCAGTTCTTCATTTACGGAGACTGAGCTTCCGCGTTAGCCCTCCTATTAGTAGTGACATTTCTGCTTGCTTGAAAACTAAGAATACGGATACCCCGTTACATTCAGCAGGCCAATTCCCAACAAGAGCATGCCTACCTCGACAGGGATGAGACCAGAGACGAACAATGTCAAGAATTTCTTCAAAAACCAATACCTTGATGATCTTGCAAACATAGGTAACGGGTTCAGAACAAAACAAATAGTGAATCCAAGCCAGACTATCATGCAAGTATGAGCAAATGGCGAATATTAAGCGGATAAAAATGGGGAGTACCTCGCCTAATGGCCAGGTCAAGGACAGACATGACATTTGAATGAACGGGAAAGCCGATGCAGTAGGGTCGGTCGGGGAGCTCCGGATGTGCCTTCCTCCACTCCATGATAGCAGAGTGAGTGAGGATCCAACCAGATATCTGTGCGTAAGGCTTGAACCATTCTGCACACAAACAATCATAAACAGAATGTAACAAAACCCCGAGGTCTAAGCTTCAAGTTCAAGCTGTATTCCATGGGTTCGATGTAGCCAAAAGATCTCTTCCAGCGCCCAACTTCTGTTAATTTTTTCTAATGGCGTTTTGCTCGCTCTCATACACTGCATTAGTATTGGTATTCGATCACCGGTATGGATTATATGAACAACTTGGTGGCCCACGAATGCAGACCGGCCTCATGTAGAGATTTCGGAGCTTCCGTAGTGAAGGCGAGCAAGCGGGAAGAAATTACCACGTTATCCATGGCAGAAGATGCAATCGCCTTCATCGGTCATCTCGGATTCAGAGGCATAGATGCATGCAGTGGGTCGATGAGGGGCGTTATTCTCCAACAAATCCTCATCCTCACTTCTACCACACCACATGTGCGGTTCCTTTTCGGATACACCATGCTCTTCTCGCAGTTACAACGACAAAAATTCCTTGCGGTGACCCGGAGTTCATTGAATATCTTGCCAAACCACCCCCGGTTGATGGACGACTTACGGATGAGAGGAAAATGATGATTGCGAGACCTATGGTTGAGCTTGGCTACGATGTAGATTTTCGAAGGACATCTGAAGGAAAAGCGAAAGTGGAAAAGCTCTTGATCCTTAAAAGACATTCGAAACAAATTGGTGTGGAGTTGTGTCGTATGAGGGTGACTCATCTTCACCTTGTTATTACCGTGCAGCTCATCCTAGTCATCCACAGCACAAAAGATCGTATCATTCACTACGCAGAATCTATCTATCTCACCAGACATGTCAAACATGCACGACGCATCGCAATCGATCCAAGTGGAAAGGTGCCAGGGAGTGTACCCTCGGAGGCGTATGGATATTCATGGTATGGGCCCCGGGTCTGGGTTAATGTTGTACAAACATTCACCAAAGGGGGGTGTAGAGGAAGAGAGGGTCAAATTGTAACTTGTGTGGCATGTCATGAAGAATCGCCTGACTGCACATAGACGCGGCATGGACTGGAGGGATGTCGGAGTGTGAACGAATCAAGAATGATTAAGCCACACTCTCCCGATCCTTAGTCGTGGTTCCCAGCATCGCTTCAAAATCACGACGAAGCAGAACCAGGGCGACTTGGCAGCACACAAGGACTGCATAAGAGAAGTTCTGTTCCAATTGTGATTTGACGTGGTCAGAACAGCAATATGTACGTGCCACCAGTCCAACAGAGCAACCGTGAAGAGTGTATATTGATGTGAACTTTAAGGGACCTGACAAACGCTGACCGAGGTCGGATCCAATAACCAGAAAGGCCATCGTAGCCAAATTGTAGCGCCACTCTACTCCACTCAATGCCACCGCAACCGCCGAGAGGAGCCGGCGAAGCAATGGGGATGTGTCTTGGCGCACCGGAAGTAGCGAGCATCTCAGAACGCGCGTAAATGATAATGTCGATGCTGAGCCGATGTTGATGGGTGTTTTGGACAGCTGATCAGCGTGGTCTAAAGCGCCTGCAAGGTTCGCAAAGGACCACTCCAAGCACTCGTAGGAAAAGATATCAGGAGAGCAGGTGGTCCATTTCTATACAGGGAAAACAGCCACATGGATTCGAATCCCACGCCACACGCTTACTTGATGACTAAGGAGAATGACAAGGACGCATGCTTGAACGTCGGAAAAAGAAAGCACATGGAGAGTGGTCCCTTGCGTCGTCTTATTTGGCAGATTCCGCCCAAGCATGATATAGAATGAAATCGGAATAGACAGGAGGAACCAAGCTACGACATGCTTCAGGCTTACATGCATGACACCGCACGGACAGAGTAGTAAGAAGGATAGATCGATACTGAAACGAACAAGTAGAACACGAACAACGGTATGTCGTGCTCAGTGCGCACAACAAATCCTCCAGTTAACGTATCAGGTTCTGATCGATGCGGTTAGTTGTTGGGTGTTATTTGGGTCCAGGGCCAACGGACCTGCCCGATACGAATGGCTGTGGCTTCAATTGCCTGGGGATGCTCGATTTGGGAACCTCTTCCCAATGCCCGTTCGATACATGTCTTGCTCGATTGCACCCGGAAACTACATGCAAGCGCATTTCTCGGGCGTCCTCATGAACCGTTGAGAAGTCATGGTGTGGGTATGCATTGCTCCGCCGCCCATCTGTACCTTTTTCGGTACACTCAGTAATATTCCGCAATGGGATTAAGTCCAACCTTGAGGAGCTTCTTTCCCTGCCTGCATCCACGTGGTCATTTCCCTAATACCCCCACCTTTGCCACACGTCTTCTCGAATCTTCGCCTCTGCTTCGTAGACATTGTTGATCTTCCCCACCATTCCTGATAAGTAATTTTGACGGGATCGGACACCTCGGCGACGGACGGCTTCAACGCCACACAACTTAAGGTCTCAGATAATTTGCAGTAGGTTGATACCTTGCTCTTTTTTTCCTCCGCTGCGGCTCCCAACGGTGATGGCTTTGTCACAATGCTGACAAGCCTAGCGCGTGCCTAGTTCCATTTCCAAGTCATCCTCCACCTTCGATCTCTTCTATCTAGAGACATGAACGTTCCTACATTGGTTCTTTCGGAGGACGAAGGCTCCGCCCAGACCTCTATTACGTCCGCTGCAACAACGCCAAACCACCAGGACTCCGGAAATGTTGTTGCTGGCACTGGAAATGCCACCGAAGATGCCACCAATTCCGTCGATAGTGAGTCAGCTATTTGCAGAGCCTTGGATCCCTCTTGTTCAAGCCATCGACCTCCTTATCAGAAGCGATCGCTATGTTATTACCGTCTCAGCGTGGCCCCGAAGGATATTTCCATGACACGATCCCCTCCTTCGCTTCAAGCTCGACTTCAAGTAAGAATCAATATTATGATGCCTTGAATCCGCACTCATCCGAGTTTTAAAGCTTGATGAGGGAATCGAGCCCTCACTCGAGCCTCCTCTGCCCGATGACACATCTTCTACAACGGTTCGTGACCGACTTAGCGTTCCATTTTCCTGGTCAACACCCACTTTATCCGATGGTTCATCCACAATTGCCCCATCTTTTGCATCTTTTGCATCGTTCACATCATCTTTAAGGAAGAGAGTTGCAAGCATTGCGTCGGCAGGCGCTTTCTTTGCCGAATGCTTGGACTCGAAACCATATCGGATCTTTTCTGTCCAAACGTTCTGCGAAAGCTTATTCAACAGTCGTCGTGCTGCAAATGCCAGGATCGTGTCCGTTCAACGATATGGGGATCTTCAAGGGGTGCCGCATCGATTTCTCATCCTGCATGTCACTCGAGCCGATGGAAGAGAGTTCTACCTTCGGTTGGATCGCAGACGGGACCGCCAAGTCCCCTTGTTGTTGTTTGGGGTACGGGATTTGGGAACGTCACGCGCGATAGATACGGTATGTAACGGACTCTTCGATGTCTTTACCGCAGCTAAGAGGCGGTACTACTGATAGGCTGCTGTTTCTGGTAGACTCGACCACCTTCTTGATTTCACCAACAAGAAGTCGGGCGTAGAGGCCATCATGATCTTCCCCACTCCCGTTCCTCTGATTGCGGCTGCGCAAGTTCTGTACGCAATTGCAGCAGAATCTCCTGGTTACAAGCTAACCAAAGTAAGCATCAATGTTCGACCAGGTGTCGTCATCAGTGATCCACTAACTACATGTAGGAAAATTGTTGGTTTTTCGCTTCCGTCATTCAGGAAATGTTGCTGCGGAGGTTCGGGGCAAAGTATGAGAGAGGGTCTCTTAACCATCCCACAATCGGTGCTGAGAGACGAGACCGCATCACAGTTCTGACATATTCGCACATTGCAAAAGACATTAATGCCGATCCACAGACAATCATAAAATTCGCTGATTTAATGGCAGATTCAAGGCTAAGGAAGGCTGTGAAGTCTATCCTCGATACTGTAAAACAGCATCATGTGAGAGAATAGCCTGCGTGCCGTCATTCACCGTCACTGATCCGGTTTGAGCTAGCAGTCCGCTTATCACAGTTCCCCACCCAACGCATTCCAAATCTCCACATCCACTCAAGCTCTCCTTGCTGTATTGCAACGGACATTACACGAATGCCTACATGGACTCAATGGAACCCAAGGCGCACGGATCTTCCCAAACGATTTCACCGAGTTAGTAAATTAATTGGTTATTCCACTGAACAGCCTATTTTACGCAACTCCCGCTAACTTCCTGTTTTCTAGTAAATTAGTTCAGATCCTCCCATCATGGAAACAACTTCAAAATAATCTCACCACTGCAATATCGAGTATGATACACCTCTTGGAATCATCTGTATGTGGATCACGCTGGAGTCGGAGTCATGAACTGTCTAACCTATCCAGTAGCTGCAAGAAGCTCTTACACTGCATCCCCCTACCCCAGTTACCTACGATTCGTTCAAAAATGATGTGGATCCATTTTTCAGGCTCTCTCCGAGGAAAGGCATGGTGCTTTTCGCATTAGAACTGCTCGGGCAATGTGCAGTGCTGGATCAGTTTCCAACTCTATGGCGTTTCCAACTAGATACAGAAATTCCTGATCTCCAACCTGAGTTTGAGAGGCTGATGACGACGCAGCTGAAGTTTGGGTGTCGTCATTGGGTCACTCTCCTTTGTACATTGGATGAGCCCCACGATGATGAAATAATGAAGGCCCTTTCCGGCGCTGTCCCGGCGCTTCTCCACTGGATTGCCGCAATGGGAATCATGGGTGAAATTGACCAAGCGTGCCAAAGCATGAAAGAACTACAGCGATGGCTAGTGTGTCAAAAATTACTTGGATACTAGCGTATGGCTCACTTTGGTGTTTTGAAGGTCGGCATTCAAGCAGTCAATAGTATAAGTCATGTAATAGCCAATCATGGTCACCGCAAGCGGGGATAATCCACAGCCCAAGTAAACCCTGCTCTGCGGCATTTTCTCCAGATGGCTGTCATCTAGTCTCAGCCTGTGCGGATGGCATCGTGCGGATCTGGGATGCGGCGACGAGAGTGCTTCTGAAGGAAATGAAGGGACATACTCATGGGGCCAATTCCGTTGCATATTCACCAGATGGGATTCATCTGGCCTCGGCATCGGATGATTGTACTGTGCGGTTCTGGGATGCGGTAACAGGAGCATGCCTTCGAGATCTGAAGGGGCATACTCACTGGGTGAAATTTGTGACATTTTCCCCTGATGGCCTTCGTCTGGCCTTGGCCTCGCGCGATCGCACTGTGCAAGTTTGGGATACAGCAACAGGGGACCCCCTCCGGGAATTGAAGGATCATAATGCCATTGTCTATTCTGTTTCCTTTTCACCAGATGGGTGTTATCTAGCCTCAGATGATACCAATGTGCGTATCTGGGATGCATCGACAGGAGCGCTTTTTCGAACACTGGGGGAACGTGCCTCCAGCATCCATTTTGTGAAGTTTTCGCCAGATGGATGTTATCTGGCCTCAGGCTTATGGGGTGGAACCATATATGTTTGGAATGCGGAAACAGGAGTCCTGCTTCGAGAACTGAGTGGACATACTGTTGGAGGAACCGTGTGCTATGGGAGGCCGGACGAGTTTTCGTACAGCCACATTCCCACATCTGGGTGAGGAACTCGCCCGGACAGCCACATTCCCGCGGTAGCGTGACTACTTAGTCACAACACCTTTTCTCTTTTATATTATTTCGGACTAATCCGTGCCAGGCCACGGACATATTCATTCATTTGAATTCATTTCCTTTTCCCTCAGTTCTTCACGCATATTGGCTGAGACTGAGGTTAGTTAGTTACATTCCCTCATTGCTTTATCATTGTAACTTATATTATGTATATTACCTCTAGTCATTACTCATAGGTAATATATCTAGTTCTTCACGCATATTGGCTGAGACTGAGTCATTACTCATAGTCCAGCTCCGGGATCACAAGTGTCGCTCATCAACACATACTGCTGTAATCAACTCCCTGGATTTTTCACCGGATGGCCGTCACTTGGCCTCGGCTTCAGATGACCACACAGTGCGCATCTGGGATGTGACAACAGGAGCGCCTCTTCGAGAGCTGAAAGGGCATACTGATCGTGTTTGGTCCGTGTTCGCCAGATGGTTGTTATCTGGCCTCGGCATCTCGGGATGGCACCGTACATGTCCGGGATGTAACAATGGAATTACCCATTCAAGGGCCAAAGGCAACGAAAGGTCATGTTGACACCATATCCTGTGTGGAATTTTCACCTGATGGATGCCATCTTGTTTCGGCCTCCAAGGATGGCAGAGTGTGTGCCTGGGACATTGCGGACAGGAGTTGCATTGAGCAGACACGGCTCAATGAGATCTTTCGTCCCCACCAAATGCTATTTTCCACCGATGCCTTAACACTTCGCATCCGAGGTCAGCAAGAGACAAAACATTTCAGCTTTCCAAAGTTAAGCGACCTACCCAACCCAATTTCAACATTCTTCCACAATTCTTCACCCACCCATCTCTTTCTTGATCATAATGCTCTTTGCATCGAGCGCGAAAACCTTGCCCTGCACATCTGTTGGCTACCTGATTACTTTAAGCCTAGCTGTCCAACCGCGGAACACGGTAACCATGTCAGCATTGGTGGAGAGGGAGGGATGATCACGTTCATCAATTTAGACAGACTTGTACCCCCCTCCATTTAGCACTTGCATGGTATGACCACGAACTTTGCTGGGCATATACAAGGATCGCAACTGCAAATACTAATTTCTAACTTGACTAATTTTTAACTTTTAGCGATAGGAGGCGAACCTGTTCAGAGTTTACTACATATTAGCAGGCTCTTGGCATATGCATGTAATTGCTCCTTTTGACGTGTTGAATTGATATCATCATTTCCTTGTGTCATCCCAATGCCCCGTTCATGATAACCAATCCTGATTATCCGATTCCCTGTGGACCTGCGCCTCATGAATGAACACTTAGCCTCTCATCGGGCATTATATAAGGTCTGCACTTGGATACCTGAACAGATAAATCTACCACTGGGCTAATTTACAGGGTGAGAGACGATAAAAATGGAGGAAATCATGCATATGAATATTGAGAGGGGTACGTAAGACCCAATCTGATGCACAGAACCTAGGAATTTGTATAGGATCCCTTGCGGATGGTCTGTAAGTGAATATGATGGGGTAGATTGGAGATGTTCCACCGAGGGGTGTCACGCAGCGTCCATACCATGCCACAGGTTTATAGGAGATCGAGCACATAGTGATTGAGAGTGGATGATGCTGGGACGAAGAGGTGGAGAATAACTAAGAGCGGACTCGTGTACCGGAGATTGGCCAGCTTGCATAGTGGGTCTATAATGGAGTATCTAGGCCAACGCCCCCAGGCTGAGCAAGTACAGCAAGCCGAGACTCGCGCTGATGTTCATACACTCAGTCCGCTCGCAGCGCACAGTTGACTGGACAGTGACAGAGAACGGGCTTGACCCCTGTAGCCTTCGTGGGATCCGGCTCGGATCTCAAGTGCTTGGCATGGCTGTGGCTTTCAACTGGAGATGCTTGATTTGGGAACCTCTTGCCATTGAATGGCTAACCATCCAATACATGTGTGTTACTTGATTGTGCACAGACACTACATACAAGCGCACATCTCAGGCACGAAGCTTTGGTGTGAGTATGGATATGCTCCGCCGCCCAGCTGCAGTACACTCAGCAATAGGATCAAGTACGACAAGAGCTTCTTCCCTGCCTGCATACACCTGGCCGTTTTCCCGATATTACCAATGTAGTTCCACACCCTCACCATGCATCTTCTCGAATCTTCGCCTCTCTGCTCCGTAGACGTTGCCAATCTCCTTCTGATAAATATCAAGGATTTTAACTGGCCCGGGATTGGATATCCCGACTGCAACTTCGATGCCACTTGAAGTCTCAAATTGTTGAGGATAATCTGCAGTAGGTTGGTGCCTTTTGCTCTTTTTTCCCTCCGCTCTGGCTCCAAACAGCCATGGCCATATCACGATGTTGACAGCTCTGGTGCCTAGTTCTATTTACATGTCATCATCTTCTGCCTCCGATTTCTTCTATCTAGGGACATGGACCTTCCTACGTTGATTCTTCCGGAGGACGAAGGTTCGGCCCACACCTCTACTGCAATGACAATCAGGCTACCGGAACCCCCGGCAGTGTTACTAGCTCCCGGAATGCGGGTGAAAGTGGATTGTGTTGGCGGTGAGTGGTATCTGCGAGCCTTGCTGTTCGAGCCTTTGATACCCTTATTAGAAACTCTCTCCGTGTTGTCCCTATCCCAACATACAATTGCCGGAGACTCTTTCAATAACGTGGATACCATTTCGGTTTTTCAGTTTGACTTCGCTAGGCCCTGTGATCATCGATCCTCCCTTATATCCTGAACTAGCCTCCGTCGGTTTCCTCTTCGAAGGATGGGTTTTGTAACGTTGTTGTGGGGACAAGTCCGTGCAGGTCAAACCAACCCTTGTCACACATTTCACCCCCTACTGCATCAGGGACTAGGATTGGTGAGTTGTGGTAATAGTAGGAGTTGTAGAGACTGTGGAGGTGGTTCTGACGAGTCCAAGATCGTCGGATTTGGTGGAGTGGTTGAGGAGATCTGACATTTTCTTTATTTTCTTTACTATTTTCATTCATTCACGCATGCAACTTTCCTTTTATATTTGTATCGGACTCTTCCGTGACAACTGTACAGACAGTTAGTTAGAGGTTAGAGAGAGTATCAGCACCGTACTCGCAGGACCCACATCTACCCTGAGAGATAGAGAGATACCTACCCCCCCCCTAGACCTGAGCCACGAGTCTAGATTGATAGACCCGTTACAACGTCTTGAACTTTCACTCATTTTGACTCTAATAGCTCAATGCTGGCATCAAGCCCTCACTCGAACCCCCTTCCGACGATGATGACGCGTTTTCCATGAAAGCACCATTGCTTCGCAGTCGACTTAACACCCCCATTCCCCATTCCTCCACTTCTTTATCAGTGTTGCCCCATCTATTACTTCCTCCTCGGGGCCCGAACACCTTTCCTCCAACAACCCATTTTCCATAGGAACACCATCGCTTCGCAGCCCACTCAGTGGCCCCTTTTCTCGTTCCTCGTTCCTCCACCTCATTATCAACCTCGTCCACAATTGCCCAATCTTTTACCTCGTCCTTCAGGAAAAAAGTCACAAGCATTGCATCGGCAGGCGCTTTCTTCACGGAAATGCTTGGACTCTCGGCCATATCGAGAATTTCCTGTACAAACTTTTAGTGAAAGTTTATTCAACAGTCCTCGTGCTGTTAATGCTAGGACTGTGTCTGTTCAGCGATATGGCGATGTTCTAGGAGTGTGACGTCAGTTCCTCATCTTTCATGTCGCTCGAGCCGACGGGAAGGACTTCTACCTCTGGTTGGATCGCAGACTGGACTGCCAGGTCCCGTTGCGGGCATTTGTGACACAAGGTTTCCAGACGTAAGGTGCCACAGATACAGTATGTAATGATGAACTTCTAACGATGGCCCCAGAGCTAAAATGTGGGACCCTGACAGGCTGCTCTTTCTGGTTGACTTGACCACCTCCTCGATTATGCAAACAAAAGGGCCAGCGTAGAGGCCATTATGGTCTTCCCTACCCCGTCTCCTCTCATTGCAGCTGCGAAAATTCTATGTGCTATTGAAAAAGAGTCCCTGCAATACAGGTTGACCAAAGTACGCGCCAATGTTCACTGCTTGGCTACCACCGTTGATCTGCAGACACATAGTACAATTGCTGGTTCGTCGTCTCTACTGTCCAGGAAGTGTTGCTGCTGAGGTTTGGGGCCAACTATGAGCCGTCTCATGGTTAATTGGCCCGATTTATTTACCAGTTACTTCAGTACATTCTTCAAGCTCTTTCCAAAATGTGAAGTCGTGCTGTTGGCAATGGAGCTGCTGGGGAAATGCATGATACTGGATCAATCGCCAACGGAATGGCACTTCCACATAAATCGTGACATTTCCAATCAACAGCCTGAACCCGGGAAGTTGGTGTCGACCCAGCTGAGGTTTGTGTGCTGTCATTGGATCACCCTCCTTTGTGAGCTGGACTCCCAAGATGATGAAGTAATGCAGACCCTTTCCCACACTGTGCCAGCACTTCTTCACTGGATTGCAGCAATGGGGATCATGGGAAAAATTGATCAAGCATGCTGAGGCATGAGGGCTACAAGCAGGGAACATAGCAACAAGTGTGGGTAATTTTCTTTGTAGAGACAGTCAAGACAATAGGTTCAACAGCACAGTGCAGGACAGGAGTCCAAAGTTGTTAACTCGATGACATGCAGCCCCAGGCCAGGAACGATCGTCACTCGGAGCAGAGCCAAAAGCTCATGCAGTCTCGGCACTACTAGCTGTCTTATGAAATTCCCTGCATCAAGTGGTAGACATTGACTGCTTGTTTTAGCTCTGCTGGTGGTGCACGTCATATGTGTAATGAATCAAATCGATCTCGGATTTAAGTTATTCATCTGGAAATACTATCATGGCACGGCCTCTCAATGGCTTGTTGACCATAGAAGATAAATGACACCCCCAAGTAGTATGAAAACAAACAAGGAGAAGAGTCATCTCTTGGCATGATGTTTAGCTACCAGTACCCCTTCACCCAAAGTAACAAAGTAAAGAACCCAGGGAACCGCACCGAAAAGCAAATCATTCACCAGGCAACTAATGGTGTTTTAGGGTCTGATGACATACTTTGCAGATTTGGAATCATGGTGGTGGAGTCGGTGACGGTGAGAACACCAATCGAGGAGATAGCATAATGGTATGTAAACCTAATAACGCCCCTTAGTAGAACAGACAAAAGCCACGTGCACAACGATGAAAATGAGGAAATATATTTTAAAACCAACTAGAGATGTGAATACAGTTGAAACGGTGATATGCCATACCTGAGATAACCCATAACCTGCCATAACCCATAGGAATTTCCGGGAACCGCTACGGTTCCTATCAAAAACCAGATCCTAACCCATAAACCTGCCATCCCCCATAACCCATAATGTGAATGGGGATTTTTATATTGAAATTTGATCTGTAACCCATAGTATGTGACATGTAAATGTTTAGTGACAGTTAATAATCACAGAATGACACAGAAAATATTATGAAAAGAGGGTATCCTTAATAGGAGAAATAGGATGAGTATTGTGGAACTGGTAAACAACCCATTGGAGGTCATCCACATCTTGTGTGCAACGGGCAACTCAGAAACGATAGAGTAGTGTGGTGATGACCCCAACAAATGTCAATCTGATGATAACATCTTAAATGCGGTGTCTGTGTCAGGGCACGTCTTTGGGTCGCTAGCGTAAGTAGCGCATTGCCACATGACCCACATTCCCATCAACTTCTTCTTCTTTTCGCTTCTTGATCTCCAGTTTGATCCAGTCTGCAGCTGTCAGTTATGATGCTGCATGATCTTCTATCTTCTTTGATCCATTGCTACCGGTTATTAGTTAGTTGCCTGATAGCCACCTCTATTGTGTACATGAGACCTTGTGCTGGCATGGGCATGTCCCCCAGCTTTAATATCAACTAGGTTTCTGGGGCCTTCTTTGTTGCAAGCATGCATGACCCTGACAGTCTGAGGCCTGGAGAAACAAGGAAATGGACAGCTGTCAGGGCACACCAGCCTGACCCGGCTCCACCTGGCCCCACCTGACCCGGTACCCTGCTGTCCACCCCTCCTCAACCTCCTCCCCCTTTCCTTTCCCCCTCCTCATTTCTGCTTCCTTATCTTCTTTCTATTTTACTTTATCTTTATCTTTTCTTTATTTTACATGGATGACCTTTCCTTGTATCAATGTACCATTGACCCACCTGCAGCGTGCCCATGACACACCTGGCCCAGACACCTCAGGTGACTTCCTGCTGGGCCCAGCATGTGTGCTTGCACTGGATGCCCTTGGGATCTCCCATGGAGACACATGGGTGGTTATGGCTGTGTGCAAGGGTGACATGGCATCCATCAGGTGACCCAAGCTGCATGTATATAAACACTAGAGACCTTTAACCCGTGGGGTGCTCGTTCCTCGCACACCCATGCATTTAGCGGTCTCTAGCTCCTGCGGAGGGCATCGGGGCTGCGCCCCGAACCCCCCTGGGGCGTTGCCCCAGACCCCATGCAATGTCATCCTTGTTATTATTGTTCCCCTTGTGCTAAAGAAATAATAAGATATATGGTGATTATTTATGCACCAAGGGGCCAGCCCCTGGAACCCCTGCTCCTGTGGAGGGCCATTGGGGTGTTGCCCCAAACCCCACTCCTGCGGAGAGCCTTGGGGCTGCGCCCCCAACCCCCCCCTCTATTAATCATGCCACAGAAATGAGAAAAGCCTATTCTTGTTATATTGTCCTCCTTGTGCAAGTAAAGATGCAATGGGATATATAATTAATCAATCAGAACATCATGATACACTACATTTGATGTCAAAGAGTCATGGTGTCCAGGAGGGAAAATGACTTTAATGTTTTGAGGAGAAGTAACCCTCGACAGTGCAACATAAAGTTGTCCATGACTGAAGCATGGTGCACGCAAATCAAGCCCCACATGCTTCACAGATTGTCCCTGTGCCTTGTTCACAGTCATAGCAAAGGCCAATGCAACTGGAAACTGCCGCCGTTTGAGGATAAAGTTCAACTCCCCTAAGTCTGATGGTGTGAGGGTCATTCTTGGGATAAAAGCAACTTTCCCATGATGAAAACCTCCAAGGACATGGGCTTGAATCACTCTCCTTCCCAGATGCTCAACACGAAGGCAAGTTCCATTGCAAAGTCCATCCTGCACTGACAGGTTTCGGAGGAGAAGAATTGGGGATCCAACTTTCAGGGCCAATTTTGAAATAGGAACACCTGATGCATTGATGGAGTTGAGGTACTCCACTGGAATGGGATCAGGATGGTCAGCACCCTCTTTGTCCACAGCAGAATCAGCAGAGTCATAAATCATCTCCTCCCCAGGAAATTTGGCTAAGATGCGTTCATTGATGGAATGGACATCAGCATTACATGGAGCAAGGATGATGTGATCAGAAAAGTATGGATCTGGGTGATTAGGAGTGGAAATATTGGGGTAGGTGACTTCGATAAGGTCTTCAAGTGTGGCACCTCTTGAAATGACCATGGATTCAGGAAGCCGAACATGAGTGGGCGAGTGTTGATTGCGGCCATGACCAACATCGAGCAGCCATCGAGCAAATTGCCTAACCTGAGGGTGTGCCCCATTCTCCAAACGCATATTTTGTGTCAAATGGAAGACATCGAGCTCTCTCCAGATAGAAGACTTGCAGAGGGTCACACCAACAATGATCTCTCTTGAGCCTCTGGGGACAACTGGGAGGACTTGTTGGAAATCCCCACCAAAAACCATGGTCAAACCTCCAAACCGACGATTATTGTGGCGTAACTCCTGCAATGTCCTGTCAAGTGCCTCAGGAGCATGATGGGACATCATAGGGGCTTCATCCCAGATGCAGAGGACATTTTGAGTAGCAAGAATATCGCCTAAAGGAGAATGGCGTTCGATTCTGCAGGTGGAATCCTCATGAATCTGGAGAGGGAGTTTGAAGGTGGAATGGGCTGTAGCGCTGAAGGAGAGAACGAAGGAAGGTCAGTTGGGAGGTTCAAACGAGACCACCACCAAGCTGTTCCCTGGTTCTTTAGTTAGGATGGGGAAGTGTACTAGTGTTGTTTATTGTAAATATAGTACCAATCCGAGTGTTTTGGCTAATTCTATTTTTATGGGTTAGTTTTAAAGTTTCTGGGAATTGACTTACAGATAAACCGAACCCTGCGGAGCTGTTTCTTTATTGAAATTTATTAATTTGTCTAGGTGTAATTCTGTGTAGCATTGTTTAATTTGGATTTAAACTTGAATTTAATCTTCTACTTGGTGAAGTTTCAAAGATTCTATTCAGTTAATGAATTTTGATGGTGTCTGGAGTGTCCCTTGAGTTCGTTTTATTTTTGTCTTATTTTATCGCTTGTTTTAACAGTAGCAAAATAACTGTTTTGTGTTTACACTTTGAAATCTGGAGTGTTAACCAGCTCTCCTGTTGAAATATCTACTTAATATTTCTCTCCTTAATTGCTGCCTTTTACTACAGTGGCAATCTTAACTGTATATCACTTTTTCGCACTGGAGTGACAACCAGAAATGCTTGAGAAAAATAATACTCTATTTTCTTACTTCTCTGAGGGGG